AGACGAAAGTCTTTGGCTGGGAAGGTAAGGAGGGCGAGGAACGTGAGGCAAGTGAGGAAGATGAGGCTTAGCGGTCGCCTTAACGACAGGGCCTCCTACTCTCTTCTCGGACGCCTTCAGTGGTGCATTTGAAGCGAAAGTCTCGTCGTTTTACAAGTCTGCGGGTGAGTTGTAGACAGGCATGTTGGAAGGGAATGAAGTTGCTCGGTTTCTGATGATGTCAGCAGGCGGTAGCGGCCCGTCCGGAAGGCACCTCAAACCCACTTTCAAGTCATGGACGCCGGCAGAATGGGCAAAAGCCGCCATCTTTGTCAGTTGCCCGCGGTGGCATGTTGATCGGCTTGACGACTCGATGAGTGCGGTTTCGGGTCGACTTTCACCCTGCGGGTCGGTTGGGCCGCCGTCTCTGGGTGAGGTCGACCTGCCAGACCCTACGACTTACAATTTAGCACAAAATCGAGGCTCAACCCCAAATTGGCGCATCAGCCAATGAAACGGGTCAAGAGGGAAAGCTGCTCTGGAAGAGAGGACAAAATGTGACTGCGACATCGACTTAAGCGAATTTTGCTCATTAAAGCTCTTACCCAAGATCTACAGATAGTCTCGAAATTCTACTTGACTCGGATACAAGTAACGCCGTCGACATGTTTGCCTCACGGCGGCGCAGGAGGCACCGTTCTCCTCTGTCCCCTTGCACAGTTTCACGCTAGGTGGCGACTTTCTACGATTGCCCTCCCCGATTCTGGGGCGAGATGAAGCTGCTCATGGCTATGATGCCAAGTTCAACAGGCAGCCCCCGTTGTCGCCTGAAGCCGTGCTGAGTGATGAAGCCTTGACAACCGACATTCCTCCACCCGTCCATCTGCCCACACACAGAGGAAGAGAGAGAGGGACCCGGAGACAGGCACCAATCGTATCGCGACAAGACTGTTAACAGAAAAGGGGGGCAATCCAACTGGCGCCCGGCATTCTTGTCAGGATCCGAACCCCACCGGGTTAACGGACTCTGCACCGTTTTTTCTGAATTGATTTCAGCATCGAGCCTGTAACTGTGACGCCGGCTTTATGCTTGCCCTCCTTCCATCCATGCCTTCCTTTCAGACCCGTCCGGGTGAGCCTGAGTGGGTGCAAAGAGCCTGGCCTCCATTCGCACCTTAACCACTCTTAGCACGGCTTCGTGTCACCTCCGCCCTGTTGCCGGGTTGAGGCTATGCACCTCATGGCTCGACAACTTGCGAGTACCCCCAGCTGCTGACAGACAGGCGGCATAAGCTAAAGTGGGTAGATGCGGTCAGGTTTGTGGTTGTAGCCATCACGTACCATCGCGTACCATCGCGCATGATGAATTTATTGATCAGTTTCGATTAACTCCTTGAGTCATTCATTGCTTTGCTACTTGATTGGTTGTCTAGTGTGGTTCTGGCCGACTTCATCTAGCGTTCGCCGATTGGGCTACACCATTCTTCTCTGGTTGGGCCTCAGTGTCACATGTGCTTCGGCGACTAGTTGAGTGTTGGTTGTACATCAGGGTAAACGGTTCCTGTAGACGACTTTACACTTTTCTCTTCTCTTCTCTTCTCGTCTTCTTTACTCTTCTCTTCTCTTCCCTTTTTTTTCTCTTCTTTCTTTTCTTTTCTCTTCTCTTCTCTTCTCTTCTCTTCTCTTCTCTTCTCTTCTCTTCTCTTCTCTTCTCT